TTATTGATGTAGCTTCAGAGGTCAACTTTTCTGGATCCCCTTGGGGTTAAGCTAGGAGAAAAGCCCACAACCTGCTCTGCCACAGCCCTGCTTTCCACAGAGCTGGCAGATAGTGAGAACAAAAGAATCTGGACTGAGGACCTGCGGTGGCTGGCAATGCTGCACCACCCATGGGCTGCACAGCAGAAAAGGGAAGAGATGTTCTACCTGGAGATCTCTAAGCACCAGCCAATTTCCCCTCCAAGCAGAACAGAAAGTAGGAGTTAGTTGCTCAGCTTTAACACTCCTGCCTCCCTGGGAATGATAAATACAAGAGTTGGAGAATCTGTTCTGGCAAAAGCCTCGTCTTCTAAACTCTAGAAAAGTGACTCCCCTCATTTCCTGGGGGGTGGAACCAGCCCTGCCTTTCCGCTGGCTGCTCTGCTCCCCCCTCCACAGAGCCCCACACGTCTTTGAGCCTGGCTTTGTTGGCAAGAAGATCTTGAAAGGCCTTTCTTATTTCTACTCTTCCCATCGCTGTAATCTCTCCCCACATGCGTAGCAACAATAGGACCACAATGGCTAAAGCTTCCCATCCCCTCAATCTCTTTAGCCTCCAAGCTGCAAACTACCCACTCCAAAACTCACAGCAACACCTGATCTCTAGTGAAAGGTGTCAGTCACCAACTTCCCAGCTGTCCCAACACCTTCCTGAGCCCCAAGAATATCGCAGCAAGCTCTCCCTCTGTCCTTCTCTAACTCTATCCACATATCTTCTCCACTTTTCACACCAGCTGTGTGGGGAAGACAGACACATTCTCTCTCTTTCTGGGAGTGAATTATCACTATCAATTACAAACACTGTCTGACACCTTCTGAAGCTACCAGCGCTGTCTTATTTGGCAAACATTTGGGCTGACATTTTCCAAGACAGGTTTCCAGAATTTTTGGAAAGTTCAGTCACAACAGTTCAACTGTTACAGAAAGCGAAGTTCAGGAAAATTAAATCACTTCTCGAGTTAAATAAACAAACAACTTAAGCATTAGTGGAACCTTTTTCTCCTTTCTCCTCTTTCCCCTGCAGGCTTGCTTCAGAGCAACAGTCAAAGTTTGGCAAAAGCGTTGGCTTTATGCCAGGACACGCGTCAGCAGCTCCGCACGAGATTCTGGAAGAGCCAGAAGAGGGGGTACGACCCAGCTTGCTCAATGCAAACGTTTGTCAAGGCCTCCTCAACCACAAAAATGATGAGTCAGGGGATGCTGATATCCACACTACAAACGCCCATGTTGATTATGTCCTCTCAAGGTCACACACAAAACTAGTGCTGGTGCCCCTCTCATCACCCTCCCTGGACAGCAACAGATACTTGTGCAATGGACACACAGCAGGTGGAATATGGACACGTAAGAGGTGGCTGTAGTGGTGCAGTTTGGAGGCAGACCAGCCAGCATGTTTTAGTCTGCTTATATGATGCAGGTGGTAGACGGGACTGGAAAACAGATCCCAAATGACAAAATGTAGACCACCACAAACCTTCTGGAACACATAATGTGAGGTGCTGGGAGTTGGTCACCCTACACACTGAGGGAACAACACGAAGGCCCTCCGCAAGTAATCCAGGAGGTATCTCTTCATTCTCGTTTAGAAAGAGACTCTGCTTTTGCCACTCTGCATGCACTTCCTCTGTGATGGCTGGGTAAACCAGGTAGAAGCCTAATGCACTCTCCAACCAAAGGCTATAGCTGCTCTAAGGAGATGGAAGGACGTAGTCAAAAACTTGGCAGAAAAATACAAAGCCCAGAGCAAGTCCACAAAATAAGCAGAAGTGAAATGCCCTCAATATCCAGATAGCAACAACACAGTGTCCAAGAAGAAGGCTTGTCTCATGGACAAGGAAGATTAATATCACACCAGAACGCTGCTGTGTCTGTGTCTAAGCAAATTACATAGAATTACATTTAAAAAAAAAATAGATATATCATTGTTTGCAATGTTTTCCATTTGCTGGGTGCCCCACTGGAATGTTGTTAACTCCTGGTTGCAAGTGAAATTGAAGGGATTTTACTTTAACTGTGAAGAAAACAGCATTAAAAGTCAGAACCTGGTTTTGCAGAACATTACACATCTCACATTAAGCACTCAAAATTAGCAGACGCTTTTCTTATAATCTGTCTGCCTTGATTACCTGTGGTTGGTGAACATACCATCCTCTTATCTCACAGGAACATTGCAAGGATAATTAAGACCTGTGCAGCATTCCAACTGTATTTGGAGATAATGGTCATGCCAAAAGGAAATGAGTACTTTTGTACTCAGAGCAGAGTTTGCACAGTATCCCGTAAATAAGGTGTACACATAATTCTAGAGGTAAAACATTGAATCCAGTGAGTATCATTCACTATATACACTGAACAATGCAGGAGCCACAGAAAAAAATAGGACATGATTGTGTAATTGAACATTCAAGACAAGGCTGCAGGCACAAGGCAGGGCTGGATAACCACAGTCATTTCTTAACGTCTGAATTACTTCACAATCTTAATATTTTGTCAAGTGGTGGATATAGGACATGCATTGTGTTGTGACATACAGTTAACTGTTGACTTTTAGACTCTGGTCATAAAGGTCAAAATCTGGTAAAAAATCTAAAATTTTCAGCAATAATTGCAGGCACTGAGAAAGCAGTAAAAGGGCAAGGAGACAACTATAAAAGCAAACACATGTAAACAAAAATTTTTTTCTGCTAATCAGGTGTAGTGAAAAAGAAAATAGAAGACAGGTCCTGGTATTTCTGGTCCAACACATTTTACATGTTTGGCTTACTGCAGTGTGGTTGACACAACTTTGTTACTGATATCTTTTCCACTACAGCTGAAAACGTAACTTCAATAAAAGCCATCTAACAAGTCACAATGACAGAAAGTTTAACTTGTTTGGGAAACACTATGCCCATACATCAATTGGTCTCTTCCTCCTTGTCATGGACTGTCCTTCATGACTGGCATTGTCATTTGTGGACGAATTACAGACAGGATCAACTGAAGCAGTCAAGGTTGACAAATAAAAGTCTTTTCTGTATCAGAACACCTCTTTCGTTTGGAAGCCATGAAACATCTTTTTATAGTAAGAGAGAATAAAGCAGCCTTTTATGTTAAAAACATATTTTTAAAAAGGCAGCCTCCTAGCATTATTAAGGCCACTTTGAGATGACCTACTGTTAAATGCTTATGAGGCAATATTCAAACAAATAAAGAACAAGATTAAATCTTAGGCAGTGTCTCTTCCAGGCCTCCAGTCACAGGCACTATGACAACTGGTTCTTTGAAGATAATTCTCAGCTCTATGTAGTCACATAGCATTTTCTTCATCCTGAGAAACATAACCTGGAAATCTGAAGCCAATATTAGAATGTTCTTGGAGCTTTTGAATTTACTAATGATCATTTCTTCATTCAAAAGCCTCTTACATATCACAAGAATTCTCATCTTGAGAGATAAAAAAGCATCTCAATTAATAGACTAAAGCACAAGCAGCAAACTAGATTCCGTGCTTCATAGTCAAATAAAATTAAGCAAACATCAACAATATATGTACTCAATAATGCTTTAAGAGATCTTGACAATGCATATTTAGAAATGAAAAAGAAGACCGAACACTGTCTCAAGTAGGCTTCTTAATCTAACATTCATCCTAGAAAAAACGTAAGGAAGCATATGATGTGGCACTAACCAATAAAGAGTAATAAAAGGATGTATATAATTAATGCTAAGTAGCAATGGTTTGTGGAACTTGTCAGACTCTTGAAATTGTTTTGATGCAAGATAAATAAAACTGTCCGATAAAGCTGATGGTGTAGATTTACAAGTACACTGATATCTGTAAAATATCCATCCTCATCTCCCATGACATCTTAATTAAAAGGACAGAACAGCATAAAACCAACACATAAGTTAAACCACTTAAATGACAGATTTCAAAGTGTTATTTACAATGTGGGAATTCAAGGTTGTTTGGCTACACTTTCTTAGAAATACAGTAGGAAGGAAGTGATAGTTGTCTTTGTGCTATTGAGCATTTTTATGAATGAGTTGGGGAAACCAAAAGTTTGCAGATGACAAAGATATTCAGGGAAAGAGAAACTTGGGATTGAAGTGCTCTACAACCTAGGAAGCAAAAGGATAAAATGGAACAAAGGTTGAATGTGAAACAGATTAATTCAAGCTGAAACTAAGACATTTTTGACTGTGAAGACAGCAGTCAATAGTTATTTACCAAGGCAAGCAGCAGACTCTCTACTAAGACTACTGTAAAAACAAAAATAGAAATTTTCCTTAAGTTCCAAGCTATAGCTGTGGTACTGAACTTGAAGCAAAAATAAAGCAAGATAGCCTGAAGGTCCACATCAAACCAGGTCAGGCAGGGTGGTCTCTTCTGAACTTTTTATCTATCTACCGTGTTTGATTATACAGCAAGCTATGTTGTGTATAGTCAAAATCATTTTAAGAAGTGGCCACTTCCCACCCAAAGTCACCACACTTCAGAGCTAGCAGTTTTAATTCCTCTTATTCCATTTTCACAGGGTGAATGAAACAGATCTTATATTCTAGATGCTTTATCAAAGCCTTTACCCTACATGAAAGTAACTCTTGTCATTGTGAAGGGCAATGACAAGATACAGGCACATCATAATGTAAGATGTTTTGTTCCAGAGTCTCCTTTCCAAAATACCTGGTATCTAGAGACCCTCCCAAAAGCAATTAATCACCAATTCTCTCCACTAAAATTCACGAAGAGTAAGAAACTGAGACTTAAAAAAAAATAAAAAATCATACACTTGGCATTATCTAGAAGCCTCAATTTAGCTTTAAATATAAAATATCAATCAGGCACTGCTATATTACGTCAGGTAATCTGTCCTACAGTGCTGACAGTCCCTGTCTTTGCTCCCCTGGTTAGAGCAGTCTATCCCTTGCAAACCTACAAGGCTTTGCTGATTCCAAAAAGGCAGGAAAGGACTCACTGATTTTGTAGATTCCAGAGACCCTGAAGATAGAGTGTCTCGGCTGCCCCGACTCTTGGAACTGAGATGGGGTGAGGATGATGGCGAGTCATCAATATAGGGCATCATATCATGGTGTCGCCTCTGCTCTTCAGCACGGTCTGCATCATACGCATAGCTAGGTGGTGTGCCACTGAACGAAGCATCTGGAAAACACAGGAGAAAAATCTGTTTGGTCAGGCAAGCTGGACAGGAGACAGGCTGGTCAACCAAGGCACTGCCGGCCTCCCAGCTATTATGATTTCTTATCAGTAAACCCAGAGTCAGTGATAGTTAAATATAGATCAAGTGGAGGCGTAAATTTAATTAAACTCATGTTGTCACCAAGCATTCACTTCACTCATTCCAAGTCCTAAAAGGTAAAGTCCTTCCTAATATCTAACACTGGTGTTCATTTAATTACAGCTCCTTCCTTCAAGTTTTCCTTCAAAAACATTAGCATCATAATAAATCCTTTTGCAGGTTCCATAAAAGTTATGTAGCCTGGGTTTAGGAATGTAGTGGATATGGGTAACAGACCCTGTTTTATTCTGTAGAACAAGATCAGATGATGCCCTTGCCATTTTAGCAATCATAGATAATCATACACTCAGGGGAGAAACATAACTCTTTCCAGACCTCTTAGGAACAAGAGGACCAGGAAAGAAAGGTCTTATATGTCAAGTGAACCAGCCTACTGCTAAAAATAAAATCCTAAGTGGCTCTCTTCTGTTGGCTGCCCCTCCTCCTCAATTTTCAGACTAACTCCTTAAACAAATGAGCAAACCATCACCCTGCTCCCTCCTACTACCCCCACCTCAACCCCCCCCAACAAACCCAACTGAAAAAAACACACAAAAAGGGACGGTGGTAGAAAGAGTCAAATTAACCATTACTGCATGAGGTATCAACCAACTCCTGCAGGAAAGATGAGTAATAAAACTGGTTCTGGTATCTTTAGTAGCTGTGTACAGAGACCGGTTTCTGCAAAATCTCTGCTAAGGAGACACACTGAGCAGCTCCCTCTACAATAGGTTTAAAAGACTTTTACCTCTCTGCACAAAGAAACATACCTAGAGGACCAAAATTTGGTTTCTGCTCGGTGGCACCACTTTACAGACATCTTGCCTGAGAGAAGCTGGAGACAACCTTACATATGAGTTACACGGGCCTGAGAAGCATTTTCACCTGTCAAAGCCCAGAAGTGTCCTGTGTGTAACAGCAATAGCCACACATGGGCCACTGAACAAAAAACAGTCAGGTTCCTTCTCCTCTTTCAGGTACAAGTCACAAAACACCACTCTTCTCCCAAAACTAAAAAATAACCACAGGGAAATAAGCTAGATCCACTTTTACAGTAGCAGGCGAGTCTTACGGAAGACAAAGCCACACAAAAAAAAGAAGAATAGCTTTTTTGTCTTCCAAGTTTAAAATTATGTATTTAATTCACACTTGAGCACAAGTAGAACCAATTTTTACTTGTTTTCACAAATATCCAGGTTCTGCGAAAATAATAAGCAGCAGCTGCCAAGCATACTAATAATCCTGTTATACATCACTAAGGCAGGGTGGAGGAGTAACATTTTAAAGCCCACTTTCCTCCCTCACAGTAAACTCAGTTAAAGCATGACTCATTCCAGTAAAGGATGTGAACTTTGTGTGGAACAGAATAAAACTTGATCCATGAGGCTTATTCAGGAGGGAGAGCTAGTCTAGGGAATTTACGCAAACAATATACTGAAAATCCAACAATAAACTCACTGTAGAAGTGAGCCTCTGTCTCAGTTTGTACCAAATACCACCCAGCTAAATAACAGCTGTATATGAGGCCTTTAGGCTGCTGAAGGACCATGGCAATATTATTTTAACAAGCTCAATGAGTTTTATGTCACCCACCCGCATGTGCTATTACCTTGTGCTCAAGCTCCGAGTTCCTCAAAAGACTCATTAGATTGTGCAAGACCACAGGAATGGAGAAGAAAAAAAAAAAAAAAAAAAAAAAAAAAAAAAAAAAAAAAGGGGGGGGG